CAACAAGGTCACCCTAGTGTGCCTGCGCTAAGAAACTTGATGAGACGATTGATCGGTACGAGTACGATGCAAGATGCTACTGTACGAGGTACACACTCGTAGGCAGGATTACAAGCACAAAACTAGAGGTGGGGCCTGCGTGTGTGTTCGCCGAGTCTCTTTGTTATCCACGTGGTTGCCTGCTCTCCACACCGCTATCACCACTACCAGGACGGAGTACGCTACCGCCAGGATGGCACCCAGACGCGGTAGTTGTTTTTGCGACTAGCGCCTGGACTTGGGGAAAAGAAAGATACCTAGTAATCAACGAGGTACTTGCCGAGGAAATATAAAGGATGCCAAATGGGTCATGCGTCCGGACGATAGGATGAGGTGTAGTGAAGGAAGTGGGGAGGGAATTTCTGGTTCTTGCCACCGAAGGACCCAAGTTTTATGCGTGCCGCGTAGGTACAATTGCATAGCGGTTTTTTATGAATGACTGGAGAAATCAACGTCGATCTTCCTGGTACGGGTGACGGGGTATTATTATTCCAGACACGGATGAGGACGGCGCACAGATGCTGGTCAGCATGAGGAGAGAAATTGACCACAATTAAGAATGTCTGGGAAAAAGAGTTCCCACTTTTGTTTTTGCCAATCTCGCAATTGAACACGCAAGCCCCCCTCCTGGCAAACCTGAAAAGGTGCTCGCCCACAAGGTGTTTTGCTCAGCAAAGAAAAGAAACGGAAAACGTAATCTCGTTATCACTGGTCAGTTGATCATTCCGTGTCATTTACGGGTCCGGATGTGCCAAGTCCAACGCGGCTTGGCTGATACCCAAGCCCGCTTGACTGGGACCCCGTTCGCTTTTTGACTTTGGTGGCTGTAATCATGCTTAACAAGAGGCTTAAGCCTAAGCGGAGATGCTCCGGCATTGCTTGCGCGAGGTAAAGCCGAGGCGACTTGGGGTCTGGCCATCGCCCGTTGAAACAGGTCAATGCTGCCATAATCACCACCATGAGCAGTTTCACCAGTCCAACCTGTGAAGTGAAACCGAAAAAGTTGGCTGGGAAAGGGGCCTTGAAAGAGGGTGGAATTTGTTCCGGATCATGGGTGGGAACATGGGCCAGGGACGCAGATGCCTAGAAACGGACCAAGCATTCAAGGGGGCGTCTGGGAAAGCGCCGAGACACGACATTACGCAGATGCCCAGGCGCCCAGCGGCGAGTCAGATTGGCAATTGGCACGAGGGTCGTCAAAACTAAGAACACCAAGCGAAACCCAAGAGCCACCAAGACTGTTGGCGCCTTGGCTAGCGTAATGCCAAGCATTCTGCATTGGCGATGTCGGCCTGGTGGAAGGGAAGTGTGGCTGGCACATGGGTTGCCTGTTATTGAGAAAAATATCGAGGAGAAGATACGAGTAAGTGCCACCTGGATATCTAGGCAATAATGCCAGAGACCCTCGTGTCAGCATTACCTATGGTACATCGTCGATGCGCACCTGTCAAAACGAAAGGGAGTGGTGTCCCTTCCCCTTCGCTTCCGAACCTTTCCTGATGCCAAGCCCTTGGATGGGGTGTTAGTTTGACTCAGGCTTTTTGCCCAGGGCGTCATGCCACGACAATATTTCTCCGTGCGCAAGTAATATTGGAGAGTCACTCCGAAAATTGCAAGGCCACCAGTTATTGGCCGTCAAAGGACACGGAGTCCTTTGCCAGGAAAGACCCAACAAGAAATGGGAATCAATTTCCCTTTCGGTAGGCAGGCAGACGCGCTGATCCCCAACAAGGGGACGATCCTCGTGATTTGGATTTCAAGGGTAGAAGTTTAAAACGATAACTCGGTATATGGATTTTTCTTGGAGGGATTCCGTGTATCGGAGTACGACTCATCTCCTCGCCAGTTGAGTGAGAGATCGATTGAGGGCCAGAATTTCTTTTTCCCGCGGTTATCGGGCCCTCTGAATACCGGGTCTCCCTCTCCCCCTACGAAACGGTGCGCTGCTCGCTTACAGCGCCCAGCGATCGAAGGCTCGGCGCTGACCCAGTAAAGAATGGCGGTCACTGGCCCGTCTCCAGCTAGTGCTGCGGGCATTGGGTTAAGCATAAGCCTAGTGTGCAAGCTTGACCCGCTGCGGAAGTGGCATACCTGTAGGAACACCTCTCCAAGGCCCAGGGCCCAGCCAAGGGGTCCACTCGAAAGGCCAGAGTCCCTCCCACACTACGGGCTTGAACTTCTTCTATTTGTCTGCCTCTGCTGGCAGTCTGGTCATTTTTCACAGCTGTTCTCACGTTCCCAACTTTGTTCTCACGAATCGGTGCTGCCGGCCGTGCCAGACTGTGATCTCCCCAAGACCACAGACCACGTAATATCCGACCGCGAGTCTATCCTTGATACCGCAGATATTCCCATTGGCTCCACGCCGCTCACCAAGACTTGTTTGAGTGTGCCCACTTGCCTTGTAATGGGCCTTTCCATTTGCATTATTAGAAGCCATCTCTCCAGCATTTCCTCGGTTTCTATCTTGGACCCTTGTCGATTTCCCAACCCCCGAGCAGTTTACGCCTAGCCTTCTCCCCCGTCTCAAACACTGTCCAAGAGACAGTTCAGTCAACTGAGCCTCCGCTATCAAGCATCGCGACTTACGGAGAGATAACTTTTGCGCCGGAGAGAAAAAAGTCAATATCTCAGAAGCACGACGGGCAAGACTGGGTTGCGTCTTGCAGTTGCAGAAAGGGAACGCGTTGGACTTTGGCAAATGGGCGCGGCGAGCTGAAGTGTCTGCGCCAAAGCATTCAGCCCGCCGCGATTGACGGAACGAGGTCCAACTTGACGATCACGTACGCGACAGTGAGCGGACCCCTTCCGGGTGAACTAGTCGCTTCGGCGGAACTGGAGAAAGGGTTTTCCAGATCATACGCACAATGGAGACATACAACGGTCTCGTTCGTACGCCGACAGACGCCATCATCCTCTTCGAAGCCTGCAGGTTGGGCATACTCCCTCGAGTCCAGCGGAGATTGTCAGAGAAAGAGAGACAATCCATCAGATCTGGCTCGGTCTTTGTTTGGGATGAGCGCGAAGCGGGAATGCGGCGATGGACCGATGGCAAGAGTTGGAGTGCAAGTCGTGTCTCGGGCAGCTTCTTGACTTATCGGGAAATGGAAGGCAAAAGAGGAGGAAACTCATACGTGAATACGGCCAATCGTGGCGCCAAAACCCCCGAAAATGGTCAAGACGATCCTTCGCAGTCTGGTGAGGGCGAGGAGGGACCCGACGGCTATCGGTACAAGCCTGATGGCCTGATGAAGCAGTCCTTCAGTATCACCACTTCCCAAGGCCAACACCTACATCTCATCAGCTACTACTCCCGAACACATCCAGCCTCCCAGGTCTTGCGACAGCCAAGCACCGATCCCAATCTGGCCTCGATACAACCCGCGAAAGGCATGTATCCAGAATCCACCATCAACGATCAATCAACGGTCCCTGCCGTCACTCGATCGCCCATGTTAGGGGCTCCAGGATATGTCATCTCTCCAGGTGCCCCAGGGTATCACCGCCCAAGCCCTGCTCCGCCGCAAGCATATATTCCACCCGGCTACATCCCTCACCCAGCCTACATCTACCCAATCAGTCCCATGCACACCCCTCCTCCCGGACACTATCTACAGCCATATGCTATTCAGGCAGGCCTGCCCCCTCTTGCATTCACCCCCGCGCCATATCCTCCACCACACCACCTATCACTCAGCCAAGCACCACCGTCCTCTTTCGATCAGCGTCCCTTACGAAACTCAGACTCGAGGTCGTCAATTCCTCCCCCTTTACCACCTGCCACTTCCCCGCAGGCTCCCCTGAGCGCTTACACTGTCAGCCAACCCCCTCCGCCAGTATACCAATCCAGCCCTGCTCCTCCAGTCAATACGCAAGCTCCTGAAGCTGCTAGTGAAAACGCAGGCACGGGGATACAAATAGATCCGCGCTTGACCACTCCTACTACCTATGGGGCTGATACCCAGACGAACGGCGCTAATGGCAAGAGCGAAGCAAATCAATCTGGAACGCAGAACTCTGACACCATCGCGGTGAGTGCCAGCCAGGCACCCACCATTACCGCCCTCGTACACAATATCGATACGAATGTTGCCCCCGCAGAGAAAAGCCAGAGTGAGGCCGAAGCGGACCGACAAGGCAGTACGAGTCCAGGTGGAACCAAGAATGGGGCACCACCGCAAGACATTCCCAGCGAGAAGCTAGGGTTCCGAGAGGATAAGAGAGCCCTGAGCAAGCTAGACCGCGTCTTTGCCAAGGTATAGGACGGAAAGAGACCTGTTCGGGTTGTGGCATCACATTGCATTGCACGACATGCTGGGAAAAAGTCGGCGTTTCCAACCATATCGTATTTAGCGTTCGGGTCAAAAGAGGCGGCGGATATGCGATCGATTTCGAAAATGAGCACGAAGTCACGAGTTTTGATGACTGCAGTATTCGACTTTTGCCATTTGTTGTTTTTTTCTCCTATTTTCTCAAGAAAGGGTTCTGAACTGGCCGGGTCAAGTCCCGGCCGTTGATAGGGGCAATGTTTTGAATTTGAAGAAGCAGGGATGGTGACGGTGGATTTGCGGAGATGCCTGTGCGTTAACATTAGCTAGTGGCATGAGGCTCAAGCAGTAGAGTGTACTGTACGAAAATCGTATTATTTCGGTTGCGTTCGATCCAGAGTTAGTCGCCTGACATGATTTGATTCCATTAATGTGGCTCCATGTGATAATCGGAGAAAAGTCTGGGCCGAGTGACGACAAGGACCCTGCGGTTGGCAGTTGATCCACCAAATCATATCGGCATCACTCAGCATCAGCCCATCTCCAAGCACAAGTAATACTCGACCTTTTCAAAATATTTGCCAGCCTCATCCTTCAATCATCAAAGCGAGCGCCTATGTCGAATGATTGCACCTAGCAGAATTGCCCTCCTAGCTGCCTGTGAGGCAAAAGGACGAAGCCCTCGTCGCTGATATGCTGGGTGCGCAATCCTTAGCAAACTCCACCACCTTTACCAATGGTGTCGCTCTCAACGAGACTGGACTGAAGTTCTGGAATTACACACTCTACGACAATGGCACACTGTCCAACGGCTCGCGCTGCTTTCTCGCTTTTGGCCCGCATAAACCCATCCTTTTCTCGAACGGAACGTTCGTCAATACGACCTCATGCTACACACCCATCAATCCCATTGGTGCCCGGGGCATAACCGGACTTGTCTTTGGCTCTCTCTTTGCCCTAACGATTCTGTTCTCCACGATCAACCTTAGGAAACATGGCCGCACATACCTGCCTCGAGAAAGAGGGTGGAAACCGGTGGGCAGACGCTGGCCGTGGTATTGGACCTTGGCGGTCGCCGCTTGTGGCATCTTGAGCTCTTTTACCGCTGTCGACGTGGACAGAGACTACATCGTCAACACGCCCATCATCCTCCAAAGCTTCTTCCTGGCCTTGATGATTCCGGTGTTGCTGGCTTGCGTTTGGGAAGCTGCGAGAAACTGGTGAGTACGACGGCATATACTCTGCTTTCATACGCCAGAAGACTTGGGGTCGGTCTAACCTCGTGTTTAGGAGCTCATTCTGCCATCGTCAATTCCAAGAGGCACAAACATATGCCTTGTCGGCTAACGCATTCCACGAAAAAGCCAATTTCTACCTTCCCTTACTCTTCTACGCCTTCGACTGCGCGGTGTTCTTCACGCTTGTTCCACGATCTTGGTCGTTTGCCCAGAAGCAACGTTCGCCCACGCAGACTCAGGGATTGGCTAGACCTGTTGCCCTCGACGCTCGATTCAAATCGGCCTCTGTCCTCGCGACAGTCTGTCTTGGACTTATTGTCTTTCGGTTGGGTTATGGCAGCAGGACCTACAGGGCAAATATCCCTACAACACTCTTACTGACTATCATTTGTCTCGGCTTACGCGTTGCGTACGTTCTTGCGGGATCTTGGGTATGGGAGCTATCCCCATTTCGTCGAGACTTGAGCGTTGGCTTGTTGTACGGACTCGGATACGCACCAGCTCTTCTCATTCTTGTGCTGCTCAACATCCATGGATACATGAATGAAAATGAAGACAAGGTATTGATTGCCCTGCGCGCGTCGAGGGGTGAGGAATTGGGCCATGGTCTTGCTATAGCCGCGCAGTCTCACCAACCTCACAGTCGCAAACCGCCAGCCTGGTGGTTTAGGTCCCAGAGCCGCTCCGCATCGCCAGGTGGAGTCTTCAGAATGCCCAGCTCCTCCAGAAGACCTCCACTGGAAGAAATTTCTCATGCGACAAATACAAGCCGAGCAGAGCAACAAGATGAAAGTGGACACGCTTGGTGGCAGCGGCGTAGGCAAGAAGAAGACGCCAGGTACAGAAAACCAAGGCAGAGTGTGAACAGTAACAGGTCCATCGGAAGATCTACAGTCACAGACGGTGGCACTACGGGCATAGACTCGCGATTTACAGACACGGACAGCTCACTGCCACCTCCACAATATCAGAGGGACACACCCTACGAATCCCGCAGAGACGGTCTGTCGCAGCCTGAGTCGTCCACCCACTCGCTACAATCGCCACCTCAGGTAGTCAGGAGTATGCTTGACGTCTGATCGATCGAGGATCACAGCCAGAATAGGCATGAAAACAAGGGTGGGACCTTTCGAGTAGGAGGCTTCATAAAGAAGGTATACAGACATTTTGACAAGTCAAAGGGATGACTGAACATTAAAAGTTGGACTGCTCAGTAGCATACGGTAAGCCATTTCCTATTCTTCGGGCTATTTCTGACAAGAGGGCAGTTACCGTCTCGCACAACCCCCTTCGATATCGCATCTATGCTACTTTACTACCCCTGTCGCCCCGCCCCCTCACTTACCCGGGAAGACGGCCAACACCAACCCGAACATACGGAGTGGTACCCACCCGCTACAAGTTCTTCTGCTGTCGTGCTTTTGGAGAAGCCGTCCCGTTCAGCTCAGCAGAACGCTACCGCACATCCAAGGTCGCAGACACTGCATGCTGCAGACTTCTTGCTCGAAACCACGATTGTTCCAGGCTCCCAGCAGGACTGCTCACCCCCTGACTACCCTGAAATCTTAGGATCCCAATGTTGCTTTCGGCCCTGACCCAATCTGCACTCACAAAAGTGATGTTGGGGATTGAGGAGTTGAGCGAATCCAGACATGGTTGATGGATATGGACTCGACGACGTAAGGGAGAAGGCTGTCGCAGGACCAAGTGCCGGCTTGGCAACGGACGGCGACAGGTTTTTGATACTGTAGTGGCTGACGTGGTCAGTGCTCATCTGGTGCAGGTATAGTAGAATCCTGTCAAAGGACGGTGTGTGAATTGGGTTACCTCGACACGATCTTCTGTGGCCGCGCTCATGGCCGCATCCTACGCGGCGACGGCGGTGATGGGAGCGTGCATGAAAATTCTGAGCTGCTCTCATGGACTGAAGCTGGCTAAGGAGGAAATTGCGGTATTCCTGAAGGAAGGGAAGGCTGCTCGAATCCGGGGCGGGGGAAGACCCAGACCTTGATCCCCGACGTTCGCTGCTCGTGCATGGGTCGAATAACCAGGGCGTATTGCACGTGTGCTGATCCCTAGCATGGTCTGGTAATTGTTCATACAAGGCTGGGTGAGATGATGCGCGGTCTGAGCTGTAATGAGACGCCATTGCTTCGCTGCAAGGTTTCATAGAATCGAAATTGTTTGAGATGTTGCACGAGAGGGAAGGGCAAATCTTTTAAGAAAGCAACAACCTAACTGTCATGCTCGGTCAATATAAAACACATTGGCGTAAATCCTGTCGCTGACGGCCCCCGGAGTCGAATGGGTGACACCTTGGGTCCGAGCATGACATAAAGGAAAGAATGCTCGGCGTCTGACAAAAGGACAGGGCGGCGAAGATGTGATTTCTGACCTACAAAGGGCAAGTCCTCAAGGCCGTCAGCGACTGTAGCTGGACGGGCAGACTGAGCGAACAAGGCCATTCTGCTGCATCTGGCAAGTAATCATAACCCAGGCAGGGAGGAGAGGAGACTTGGCACTCAGGCCGCGCAATGTCATTTCTGATAAAGGACATTTTGCACATTTGGGAACACCTCCGTGCGTTTCTCATTTGGGAAATTGTAAAAGGTTCGCCCTCGGATCCCGCACCGGGTCGCAGGATGTGTCCGTTTTGCTAAATGAGTGGCTGAGTGGCGATTGGAATCGTGGAGTAAGATTGATGAGAAAAATAGCATGGGCGCGCATGGGCTTGGTGATGGGGTTTTTCAATCCTTTACGCTTTGGCGAGGCTGTGGCAAGAATCCCGTCGGATAAACACTTTTACCGCATCCCGCGGGCGGACCGCGCATCCTTCTCCCCCTGTGCGCTAAATTGTTACAGCATCGTCTGCGCGACCTGCAGCTCCTCTTTGACTTTCCATACTCTCCTGATACTCTGCGGCCTCTGCTGTTGGCTGCTGTTTGTCGCCCTCCCCTGCGTGATGCTATGGCGTGTTCTGAAGGCGCCATGGCATCTCGGAGACAGGATCCTGCCTCGATGCTCGTCCCTTGACATTGCAAGACTCCGATATGACATTGTACCGTCCCACGTTTGCGCCCGATATTTGCACGGTCAAAGCGCAACAGCTACAGAAACCTCACCGGCCCTTGTCCGCCATGCTAGACTCTCGAACGATGCCGAGTACGTCAACGGCTTGCGAGCGGATGAATCGGTCAAAATTGCAGGCTTAGTGCGCAGTATCCGGAAGCAGAAAAAAGTCGCATTTGCCCGAATCGGAGATGGTTCGACGCTCGCGAATATCCAAGCAGTGTTTCCCGATCCGCAGTTGGCGAAAGAGTAGGTGGATGCGTATCCAAGGAGCATGGACGAGTTCTGACACCCAGCTTTCAGCATCACCAATGGTGCCTACGTTGCCCTGGTGGGCAAGTGGGTGCCGTCTAAAGGAGCTGGACAGAGCCATGAACTGCAAGTCGAAGAGATCGAGACGCTGGGTGATGGCAATACTTCTGTTCGTCTAACCGTTCCTCCTTGCGCGCCGCTGCCCCAGCTAACGGCGACAGGACAACCCCATTCAGAAGCAGTCGATGTCGACTGACTTTCTCCGAACCGTTCCTCACCTCCGAATGCGCACGGCCTTCCACTCTCTTGTTAATCGGACTCGCAGCCAATTGATCTCGGCAATTTCGTCGCATTTCTCCAACCAACCGGACCCAGTCTATCAAGTCCTTCCGCCATTGATCACCTCTTCAGACTGCGAAGGAGCGGGAGAGGCATTCACAATAGCCCCGCAGAGCCATGAACAGCTTCCCGGCACAACACCAAATACTTCCAAGGGACAAGAAAAGCTTTATTTCCGAGAGCCAAAATACCTTACTGTGTCGTCACAGCTTCATCTGGAGGCGCACGCCGCCGAGCAAGGGGATGTGTTTGCATTCTCCCCGACTTTCCGCGCCGAAGAAAGCGACACCCCGCGGCATCTGTCTGAATTTTACATGCTCGAGGTTGAGCATCGACACATTTCTTTTCAAGAGCTGCTGTCCCGAGTGCAGAGCCTTGTGGCATACCTCACACAATCACTACAAGAGCATCGTACGGGGAAAGAGTTGGTTGAATACTACTCCGACCAGAAACACCGACCTACGGACGCGGACTTTGTGGATCTGCCTGCTCGGTGGGCTAGACTTACTGGAAGGTGGCACCAGGTGGACTACACATCAGCTATGGAGGCGCTGATAAAGGCGCACGAATCCAGCGATGGCACGCTTTTCGTTCACCGTCCTCAGTGGAAGCAAGGATTACAGTTGGAACACGAACGGTGGATCGTGGACAATCTGGCAGAGGGAAGACCAGTTTTTGTGACGCATTATCCAAAAGAGGTCAAACCCTTCTACATGCTTCCGTCATCGGCAACAACTCCACTGCAAGGTGGGGCTCAATCGGAGTCGGATGGAGACACTGTGGCCTGTTTCGATCTGCTGCTTCCCTTTGGCTACTGTGAAGTGGTTGGAGGGAGTCTCAGAGAACACCGGTTGGAGCATCTCATTCGATCGATGCGCCAAAAGGGGCTAATCAAGAGAACCGAAATATCGAATGGCGACAATGGCAACGGTTACCCGTTTCTGGAAAAGGGAGAGACTTTGGGGAACATGAGGTGGTACGCCGACCTTCGACGATTCGGAAGTAGTCCCCACGGTGGCTATGGCCTGGGATTTGACCGCCTGCTCGCATACATGACGGGTGTCAATAACTTGAGGGAGGTCGTTCCGTTCCCGAGAACGTGGGGCAGGGCAGATTGCTGAGCCGCGGGTGATGGCCGTAGCGAACACTATTGTACAAGATACAGGTACACGTAAGGGTCGAATGTACAGTGTGCATTTTGGTTATAAGTCATTTCCAAGGTTGGTAATGCAGTGGAAGTAAATAATAGACTTTGGTACTCTTCCTATTTAAGTAAGGTGTGATCCACATCTATCCATAGCGCTTAGCCTCGTTTCCCCCAACCCTCCAAAATCATCCAGACAGGCTCGACAGGAAGAACAAAAAATGCTTTTTCACCACCAGTTTTTCGATTCTTGACACGAGATTTGGTTTGGAGAATCTCTTCATTTTTCTCTACCCAACGAGATCAAAAAAAGCAAAAACAATCAACAATCAGGATTCCCACCTGGTCACCCACGGTAGTACTAACTGATCGGCATATGGCTTAAGTACGGCTGAGCGAACGGGAAGCCCTGTATTCCATATCCTATGGTCGATTGCGAAAGAAAATTGTTTACACTAAATAATATACTACAAATTTGTATATTTTACCAGCGATCCACGAGTATGCGATGTTTTTTTATATGTGCGGAGTTTTTTCGGTATAGGATCTTAAGTGAAGGGATGGGGTCCGGTGGCTTTGTTATCTATGAGGGGCTTAGGCATTACAAAGGACATACTAGCATTGTCAACTACCTAATTAATATTTTGCTCCGCTATTTGTTTTCATGATCGTGGGTGTTGGCTACCAGCTGCTAGTCAGAAGTACCTACCTTGCGAGCTCGTATTGAAAGTCATCCTCTCGTGTCTCCCCAGCGCGGGGGTGCCAAGAGGCTAGCCAGTTACGCAGTCAAGATCCCAAAGTCTTACCTTTTCTCTTGTATACGAGTACCTCAGACTTCACCTACTCTATACAGGCGGTCAAGGTAGACCCAGCGATCCATTTTCCTATTTCTCTCCTTCCCTGTTCACCCGTTGACTTTCCCACCATCCTCGGCGATACGGCGAGCGCGGGCAAGTTCCCTTGATCCCCCTCGTCCGTTCTCTCGACCGAGTGCAGCATGGCAAAAGCCGACTATGATGAAGTCGCGTCACCAGCGAGTGAATGCTAGCGGTTCAAGATATCGAGGATCAGACGCGATTGAGCGATTCATGGCTCGCTTCGCACTGCCCTTACCTGACCTAGGCAACGGTGCGATCGTGCGGCACGATCTGGAGTCCAACCCATGTCCAGACTCGGAAGAACTCGAGCCCGTTTCTGGATAGAACCCACTGGGCGCCTCGCAAGCATCTACCCGCCAGTGCAAAGTAGAAAACATTTCTGCATGGCCGATTGGCT